TAACCATAGAAGTTCGCTTGCGTACGATGTCGCTATGCAATATTAATTTGCTCAAATTCCAAAATCAAATTTCACAATAACTTTGAATTTTTAATTTCAACAGATTTGCAAGTGCAAGGTTTTGAATAAAGCTGCACAGTACTTTTTTGGAAACGAAATCACTAAAAGAGAAATATAACGAGTGGCGAGCGTCATTCAAAAAGGGGAAGTTATTTTAGTTTATTGGCTTTCGCAATTTATATGTATTTTAGAAAAACAAAAGTCACTAAATAGTTACACACTGTTAATTTTAGCTGCTATTGAAAGACAAAACAAAAATCGCTATATTGGGGGTAGTGTGAAAGATAAACCTATTAGACAAATGATAAAAAGGTCCTGGGACTTTATGGACAAAAAAGTTCTGGTTTATCGGCAAAAAAATGAAGATTGAGAGGAATTCATCGCCAAATGCCGCCCCCTCCGCGGACTACTGTTTCCATTTCAAATTGTAAGTGTGATTTTACGGTGATGATTACAGTAATAATAGTCCCCACCATGGGTCATTCATTCAAATAATAACTAAATTCTAGACGAGAATAGGAAAAAGTTCCATAAGTTTTGATATAGGAAGCGAAAAAATTTCTCACCTCCACGATCTCCACCACGACCACGGTCACCTCCTCTGCCGCGTCCACCTCGACCACGTCCCCCACGAGGAGCTCCAGGGAGGAATCTATTAAGAAATTTTGTGATTAACGGCAAGGAAGATGCAGATGTGACGCACCCTGGATAAATGCGCAATTCAGACTCACCTTTCAATGGGCATAAGCTTTGCAGGGTCAATATACAACTTCTGCCCAGTTTTGAAAGAGTTGGCTTTGACGCCATCAGCTAATGTGACGGAAAATCCCTGTACATACATCAATAGAAAAAGAACACCAAGAATCAAAGACTACTCACATTATCAAGTATGCTTCCGAATATTTCGTCAATTTTCCCTATTTTCTCTTTGCTTTGAAAGTATAGCGGAGCATTGAAAAAGGGGATTTTTCCACAAGTGGTTTTACAAACGATGTCATCCTCACATGTGTGAGTGAATTCACCTACTTCAATGACCTGAAAAGAAGTCGATAT